GAGAATTTTTCCCTCTCTGAAAAGCTTTGAAATGTCAACTTTTCACCTCAGTTTGAAACTAGAACCAATATTGAAATTTTGGAGCTTCTATGGGATGGAATCTTTCTTTTTTAGTGCATTCTAGTTTTGTTCTTAATATATCCTGGGGCGTTCAGGGAGATGAAGTCTTTTTCAATTCATAAAGGGCTGCGAAGGAAGTCCCCACCAGCAACAAAAATTAATCACTGTGACAGGCTGTGCCTGGAAATGATCTGAAGTAAGCAGTTTTCATATGCATTTCCACTATACATTAAGCTCCCTTTGCTTAAAGCATGGTAATGAAGCACAGATTTTCCACACTGAAATCCTTGGAGTTTCAAATTGCTGAAGCAAGTTCAGAGACTTGAACTGCAAACTGTACAAAATGTCAGAAGCAGCTCCATTCCGTTCCCTCTCAGGCTAACCCAAATCTCATTAAAATCAAGAAAATGTACCTATATCTTAAAAGGCTTTGGATGAAGCTCTCACGTATTTTTAAAGGTATTCTGATGAAGTTCATTACTATCACAGTTAAATGCCTTATAGCACTAGAGACAGATCATGCAGAGGTTTGAGATCTCTCAGGCTTTGTACAGTATATGGAAGACGTCAGCTACACAGCACCAAAGTGAGGAAATCCTCAGTTAGGTCAGTATCAGCTCCCTGCCCAGTTCTTTGCCATCGCACCCTGTAAGAGCGTTCATCCTTAACTGGCCTGCCTTTTCATTTTCCTTATGGGCTTGGTGAAGAAAATGTTAGCAACAAAAAGTCAGAATAATAACAGCTAATCCCTATTTGGACAAGTCTGTATTGTTTTCTGGCTTGAGATACAACGGTTCTGCTCAGAAGTAAAGATTCCATATTACATTTTAGGCTGAAGTCCCACACTTCACGCTGAGTTTGATTCTCCCCCACTCTCAGGTTTTCTCTATTGACAAGAAGTGAGTTGGCAAAACAAAAAAAAAGGGATATTCCTGACACTGAGACACATGCATAAAATACTTTTTTAAGACACTGCAAGAGGAAGAAAAGTCATAGAGTTAGCAGAATAACCGCTTATGTATAGTTTAAAAGCATCAGACTGAAAGTTCAACAGCAGGAGTTGGAACTAAGTGCCTGCACGAATGTTATGCCTGTATGCAGTTGCTTTGTGGACTTGAATTCTGGCTCAGTTTAGTAGATTTTTCCAGAAATAAAACTGGACCAGCAATGACAGGTTTTGCTTCAGTCCTGCTTGCCTGGAAATGCCCTGAAGTAAGAAGTTTTCATAATCATTTCTATTCAGTATTAAGAAACCCTGGGCAGGAAATAATGTAATAAAGCAAGCTTGCAAATCTAGCCAATTATAAATAAATCTCTCTGTTTTTCAAAGGTCATGTCTGCAGTTCAGATACAAGTAGTTCTGAGAACCTGAGAAAAACA